GAAAGAAAGAAAGAAAGAAAGAAAGAAAGAAAGAAAGAAAGAAAGAAAGAAAGAAAGAAAGAAAGAAAGACAAAATGAAAAAAAGAGAGAAAGAAATTAGATCCAAACCTTACACCATATACAAAAGTAACTAAAAATGAATCAGAAACTTAAATGAAAGCGCTAAAACTATGAAACTCTTAGAAGAAAACAGGAATAAATCTCTGTGACCTTGGGTTAGACATGACACCAGAAGCCCAACAAAAGAAAAAATAGATAAATCAAACATCGTTGAAAGTAAAAATGTTTGTGTTTCAAAGAACACCACCAAGAAAGTGAAAAAGACAGCCCATACAATAAGAAAAACAATTTGCAAATATGATATATTATATATAAATATCTATATCCAGAATATAATAAAAGGATAAATAACTGAATATTAAAACGGCAAAGGACTTGAATACACATTTCTCTAAAGAAGATGTACTAATAGCCAATAAGCAGATAAAGGAATGTTTATCATCACTAATCATTAAAAAAAATGCAAACCAAGCCACAGTGAGATACCACTTCACACCTATTAGGATGGTTAGAATGAAAAAGATGGACAAATAATAAGTGTTGGTGAGGACATGGAGACATTGGAACTCTTTTTTTTTTATTTTTATTTAAATTTTTTTTTAATTTACATCCAAGTTAATTAGCATATGGTGCAACAATGATTTCAGGAGTAGATTCCTTAATGCCCCCGTACCCATTTAGCCCTCCCCCTCCCACAACCCCTCCAGCAACCCTCAGTTTGTTCTCCATATTTATGAGTCTCTTCTGTTTTGTCCCCCTCCCTGTTTTTATATTATTTTTGCTTCCCTTCCCTTATGTTCATGTTTTGTATCTTAAAGTCTTCATATGAGTGAAGTCATATGATATTTGTCTTTCTCTAACTTCGCTTAGCATATTGCCCTCTAGTTCCATCCACATAGTTGCAAATGGCAAGATTTCATTCTTTTTGATTGCCCAGTAATACTCCACTGTGTATCTTCTTTATTTCTTCTATATCCATTCATCCATCGATGGACATTTGGGCTCTTCCCGTACTTTGGCTATTGTTGACAGTGTTGCTATAAACATTGGGGTGCATGTGCCTGTATAAACAGCATAGCTGTATCCCTTGGATAAATACCTACTAGGCAAATGCTACGTCATAGGGTAGTTCTATTTTTAATTTTTTGCAGAACCTCCATACTGTTTTCCAGAGTGGCTATACCAGCTTACATTCCTACCAGCAGTGCAAAAAAGATCCTCTTTCTCCACATCCTTGTGGACATCTGTTGTTGCCTCAGTTGTTAATGTTAGCCATTCTGACAGGTGTGAGGTGGTATCTCATTGTGGTTTTGACTTTTATTCACCGGATGATGAATGATGTTGAGCATTTTTTCATGTGTCAGCTGGCCATCTGGATGTCTTCTTTGGAGAAGTGTCTATTCATGTCTTTTGCCCATTTCTTCACTGGATTATTTGTTCTTTGGGTGTTGAGTTTGATAAGTTCTTTATAGATTTTGGAAACTAACCCTTTATCTGATATGTCACTTGCAAATATCTTCTCCCATTCCATTGGTTGCCTTTTAGTTTTACTGATTGTTTCCTTCTCTGTACGGGAGCTTTTTATCTTGATGAGGTCCCAATAGTTCATTTTTACTTCTGTTTTCCTTGCGTCTGGAGACGTGTTGAGTAAGCAGTTGCTGTGGCCAAGGTCAAAGAGGCTTTTGCCTGCTTTCTCCTCAAGGATTTTGATGGCTTCCTGTCTTACGTTTAGGTCTTTCATCTATTTTGAGTTTATTTTTGTGTATGGTGTAAGAAAGTGGTCCAGGTTCATTTTTCTTCAGAGACATTGGAACTCTTATACATTGTGGAGGGCATGAGAAATGTGCGTTCCTTTTCAGAAATAGTTTGGCAGTTCTGCAATAAGTTAAAAAGGGAGTTAAACAGGAATTCCAGTCCTAGGTATATGAGAATTGAAACTATGTATCCACATAATAACATAATAACTTGTACACAAGTTAAGTTAGAATTAAATGTTCATAGCAGCCTTATTCATAATAGCGCAAACAAGGAAACAACCCACATGTCCATGAACTGTTGAGTGGATAAACAAATCTGGTGTATCTATAAAATGGAATATTGTTTAGCCTTAAAAATTCAAGTATGGATACATGTTACAACATGGATGATCCTTGAAAACACTGTGCTAAGTGAAAGAAGCCAGACATAAAAGGCCACCTATTACAGACTCCATGTCTATGAAGTTTAGAATAAGCAAATCCATAGAGACAGGAAAGTCAATTAGTTGTTGTGAGGAGTTAAGGGTTTGGACAGTAAGAGAAGAGCTGCTGATTGGTATGCATTTCTTTTTGGAGTGATGAGAATGTTCTGGAGTTAGATAATGGTGATTGTTGCACAACCTTGTGATTATATTAAAACCATTGAGGGGCGCCTGGGTGGCGCAGTCGGTTAAGCGTCCGACTTCAGCCAGGTCACGATCTCGCGGTCCCTGAGTTCGAGCCCGCGTCAGGCTCTGGGCTGATGGCTCAGAGCCTGGAGCCTGTTTCCGATTCTGTGTCTCCCTCTCTCTCTGCCCCTCCCCCGTTCATGCTCTGTCTCTCTCTGTCCCAAAAATAAATAAAAATGTGGAAAAAAAATTAAAAAAAAAAATAAAACCATTGAATTATATACTTTAAAAGAGTGAATGTTAGGGCATGTTAATTATAGCTCAATTAAAAAAAACGCAGGTGTGGGTCAAAAAAAACGCAGGTGTGGGTCAAAAAAAATAAACGAGTGAAAAGGGATAAACCTCAAGAAGTATGGTGAGGCAGAATTGCCACCAGCTCATGAAACATGAGGCTAGACTCTACCAAGAAAGGGCTTGCCTGACCCTCAAAGAAAACTGGAGGGAAGACCCTCCATTGTCTCTTATGCTCAGACAGCTGTGCCCCTCTCCTTAGAGCTGGTGTAGGAAAGAATTTCTTTCAGTCTTTTTCAAGAATCTCAACCACCTTCTCCAAGGCCTCTACAGCCCAGTTCCCACAGTTGAGCTCCTAATGCTGTTACATTTCAGAAATCATGTTGTTTCTGATACAGTAATGGTTTTCCACATATTACCCAAGTCTAAAACCTGAATCCCCTTGAAGAATTCAGACTGCAAAGGAAGCAATCCAAAATTTACAGAACAGCCATTGCAGCATGTTGTACAACTGAAAAACTGGAAATGATCTAACTATCAAACAATAAGGAATTGGTTAGAGAAATTATGGTACATCCTTATAATGGAATATTATGGAACTCCTGAAAATAAGGCCTAATAAATAATTTTTAGTGATGTAAAGAAATGCTTATGATCATGGCAAGCAGAAAAAAATAATGGATAGAGAATCGTATGGGCATTGTTTTCTCAACTATGGTAAGAATACGCTTACCTTAAGAAATATGCCATGATATTAATAGTGATCATTTTAGGCAGTGGATATTTTCATTCTAAATTTTCTTTTCAAATTTTCCACAGTAAGTATGTCATAGTTTTTGTGTTAGAAAAACATAATTATTTGGGGGTGGGGGAGAATTCCAGGTGGCAAAACGAAGAATTTTAACACAGCCTTGCACGTACCATGTACATCCCATTGGCCAGGATCAGTCCCAGGACCACTGCTGACTTCTGTTTGCCCAGAGAAAATGAAATGGTTTGAGAAACACAATCTCTGCCACAGGGTTGCAAGAGTGTATGGGCATTGGTTGAAGATTGCACAGCTAATGCGAACTAGAGCAAAGATTTGGAATCAGTCTTGGTCCTGTTCATCTTGTAGTTCTGCCCTCTTCCAGGTCCCCTCTGGAATGTTCTCTAGTCCCTGGATGCTAGAATGATCGTTAGGGAGGGTAAGAAAGTCTGATGAAAACATTTATGTTAAACACAGTTTTAAGCCTTTCTAGACCCATCAACAATTCCTGTACAATATTTTCTTCCCTTAATTAACTTCTGTAACTCCCCATTAAACATTCACATGAAGCTGATGTGTGGCATTGTGGAATAGCTATATTGTACACCTGAAACTAATGTAACATTGTATGTTAACTAACTGGAATTAAAATAAAACTTAAAAAACAAAAAGAAAACAAGAAAAAGACAGGCACTGATATCTTAAAAAAAAAAAAAAAAGCAAAACACTAAAGCAAAGCAGACACCAGTTTCAAGGCAATTCATTACTGTGCTTTTGATATACGCCACCTTTTATAGGTTTGTTTTGCAAAAGCAGAACTTCAAAGGCTCTTCCCTGCTTCCTAGGGCTTTTCTCAGCCACTACTCGGCTGTGGCTGGTGGGGGCGGTGCTTGGCTCTGCCTCAGGTTCTGATGATGAGTTTTCCCCCCACCCCATGAAAAAAAAAAAAGAAAGCTGAGTATAAACATAAGCTTGATTGACTAATCATTATCATTACACAAAGGGCTTATAATTCAAACATGATTTAAAGAAATACAGATACCTGGAGATATTCACAACCATTTATTTTAAAACATGAGAAGGGATCTAATTAATATCATCTTGACACTTCAAACACATTTTCTTATCTAACCTTCACATGAACCCTGCTGGGATGGGTCTCCCTCGGATCCCAGGTTCTATAGATGGAAGCGGGCACATGGGTTAGTGAATATGTGTACTGTGGTTCATCTTCTTGCTTTGGCATTTCCTTATGTATAGAATGAGAAAGGAGTAAAAACAATAGTAACAAACAAACAAACAGTAAGTAAAATACCTACTTTCAGCATGTGGGGAGAACTGAATGGGATGATGGATTCATAGCGCCGAGACATGATTATGATGACTGTTTCATTTACAGACAAGGAGAGGTAGGTTCAGACAGCCATTTTGTCAAAGCCAGCCAGTCAGAAGTGGTAGGGCTGGGGCTTGAGCCCAGGCTTCTGTAGGTCTGATGCTGAACACTTCCTCTTACCACTTGCTACTTTTTATATTCTAGGAAACACAGGGAGTCCAGCACAAAGATACCTATGCTTGACCAGCTTTTAGTTCACAGGTAAGCATCTTTTCTGCTTAACTTATAAAATGTCTCAATCACATTCTACTCAAACTCTAACACTTTTTTAAACTGTTCTTTATTCCAGCATCTGGAATTGAAAGCTTAACTCATTTACCTTCTTTCTTGCCCAGGATGAATGCCTATCTAGAAATACTGGAGTTTCAGGGGCCATCTGTCTAAAATGCAGTAAGAATTTATCAAAGTCTCCACCCACCTCATGACGAGGGCTGGAGGACAGCAGTGGACAAGGGTGAGAAATCACAAGACCTGAGTTCTAGCCCCACCACCTACTGGTTCTTGCACCTCATGTAATTTCTCCTGCCAGAGTCTCCAGTTCCTTAGCTATGAACCGGAACACCTATAATACACCAACTCACCTCACGAGCTTGTGGGATCAAATGAAGCGGAGCCTGTTGCAAACTGTAAAGTTCTATGTGATTGTTTTTACTATCCCAACCACAATCTATGGCCAGGCAGCTCTTCATATAGGAGACAGATTTCTTCCCCTTGGCAATAATTGTAAGTAATATATTCCAGGATGTTTTGCATTTTCCTGTGCTTAAAATAAAACTGAACCCAAACAAGAATGCAGACATGGTCCCGCGTTCTGTGACGCTTGTAGAGTAGCTCCTATGTGGGATGCTCTGTGCTTAGTGCACTAGAGATAAGATGTAGTCCTACCCCTGACTACTTCATGGTCTAGTGGAGAAGGCCAGGCATTTATATAAAGTGCTGCATACTTTAAAAGAGGAACAAATACAGTGTTAGAAAAGTTGAAAGGAGCAAGGTCACTTTCAGGTTAGTGAAATCTGGGAGAGTTCCTTGGAGGAGCTTGAGTTCGGTCTTAAATTTGGCTAATATTTGGGCAAGTAAACAGAACAACCTGAGCCGAGACTCAGAGGCAGGAAGATCCAGGCTGTGTGTGGAAACAGAGGAGTATTTTGACTTAACTGAGTCAAAGGGTACAAAAAGAAAAAGATGGGAAACAGGGCAGATTTGGGGGGTACATTAAAGTCAGACTGATGGCTTAATTTTTCAAATAGGAAATCAAAAATTGATCCAGCACAGGGTTTACAGAGTGAGCTGGAGTGGATGGAGAGAGCAAAGGCAGGCAGAACCCTTCAGAGGTCATTGCAGTGGTCCAGACATAAGGAAATTCTGAATTTAGGGCAGCAGCAGCAGCAGCAGCAGCAGAAACAGGGAGATATCTTACAGGTATAGAACCCAAAAGACTTGTCAGAATATGTAATACAAAAGGACCGGGACTCTAAGAACTGGTAAGCAAATCAGGGTTTCTTTCAAGGTTCCAAAAGATTCACAAATTCATCTATTTGACAAATATGGGTCAGTTGTGTGCTAGGGAGCAAGACAGACAAGATCCTTTATGAGAGGAAGGCATATCCTAAACAGGTAATGGGAGTTAGTAATATGACACAGCGTCCAGGTTGCAGGACGGGGGTGGGGAAGGTAGGGAGCTACCCAGGTAGGAGGTGACATTGGGGCTGAACTTTAAATGATGAACATCGGACAACCAGGGGAAAGTTGAAGGAAGAGTAATCTTTACAACTTTGAATCCAAATGACTTTTTAGGGAGTTACCTTTTGGCATAAAGACACGAAGGTCCCACTGTGGCCCCGAGAGAAGGGACACTGTCTTATTTACTATCTTGTAGTGTAGCTGATCTCACTTGTCTCTTCCATGTGGTAGTCGACTCTCAACCTCTAATGTGACTTCTTTCTCACAAAGTGGCTATGGACCAATTTTCCATCACTTCTTCCAAAGAGCTGACCTTTGGATGTCCAAATGGGTTTTTATTGTTTCTCTTAAAGACCAGCTTTATTGATAACATTTAGCACCAAACTGAAGCATCCCAGAAATTCATATACATTGAATAATCAAGACTCACCCATTGATATATGATATAACAAATATCTCTGCTCCAACTAATAGACCAACAGGCAGTTCGCACAAAAAGACAGGTGAATTTTTCAGTCCAAAGGGTGAGTCAACCCATCTGGTATGACAAATGCTGTTTCTGGCTTGATTCCTTGTCTGAGACCATTTGCCAAAACCTTTTTCATGAATCAATAGTTAAGATAATCTAAGCTGTTCCCAATAGATTCAATAGTTCACTGGTTCCAGGCATAAGACATCAATTTGGTTTGGTTATAAAATTTAATATTCTATAATTCACAGAAAATCTAATTCATGTACCATCTGGTTTTGGAAGGAAGACCTCTGGAAAAATTCAGGGGCTTTCAGGATTAACATTTCTTATCTTCTTCCTGATCTCACTCAAGACCTTTGCATTCACACTAAAAAGTGATAATCTACTTGGCATATTACCCCTTATTTCAAAAATGGTAAGTTCATTCCACCTGGTTTACTTTGTAATATGTCCATGAATGTTCTCATTCTATTGCCCCGACTAATAGTCTGAAGCCACACTACATGTTTCCTGATCCCTCATTGAGGACTATGAAGGCATATACCCATCAGGTCACAACCAGGTTAATCTTCCTGAACCTCCATTTGATACTTTGTAAACTAAAAGGTTTACAAAACACTTTCACTATATTATCTCGCTTTGTTTTCATGCTGACCCTGAGAACATTCCCATTTTACCCATGAGGCTATTAAAGCCAAGAAGTTGACTGGTCTACCACCTGGGATCCCTGATTTTTGGTGTGCATCCTGTCCAAAATATTTAACATGCCCACCCCAGAATGCAGTTATGTTTCCTGAATCTTGCCATTTGAGCGAGATTCCCTACCTAGTTTTCCAACCTCTTCTCTTCTCCCATGTTAACTATCACTTCCAGTGGAGCTGGTGTTTCTGTTACTCATAGAGCCTATTATGCTCCAGATGGCCTTAACTGGGCCCCAGGGATCTATCCCTAGAGCCCCGTGGTTGGGCTTTCGGCAACTGAGTACTGCATGTGGGATTTTGTATGTATACGCGTATGTGAGTCTGTCTAAGGAAAGAATCCATAGTTTCCAACAGGTCCTCAAAGAAGTCAATGACACCCTCCCCCCAAAAAGTTAAAAATTAATTTTATACACTGCTTTTCTTTCACCAAATCTCCTCTCCACTCTCTTGACCTACCTACGTTTCATAATTTCTCTTCAGAACTTAAAGCCAACTATAGGCTTTCCAGATCACTCTTTCTAGATGAATTTAATTATTCCCCCCCCCCTCCAAATATTAATTCAAAAAGGGAGAAGCCGGAGTATTCCTAGGGTGGCCTTTATATATGCAGATAATATGTGATAACTTATCCCGACTGAGAGCACAATGATCTGTAAACCTTAATCATTCCCTTCAGAGTTGATTTGAAACCTTTCATTAGTACAATGCTTCCCATGGGATAAAGAGTGGCAAGAACTACATTGATACGGATATGGTATCTATTATGAAAAGAAAACCATTATCTTACTGTAAGGATTGCATAGTGATATTCCAGATGAAAACATAAAATTGGTAGAAGTTCAACCACTCACTCTCTACACACCAAAGCAAGCCAACCCCACTGTCTATGGTGACTCAAAGGCATACAGAGCTTTTGTTTGTAGAGCTCAGGGTGAGGGGTCTGAGTGGTGGGGTAAATGGAAGGTGGGAGGGGGCTCTGCTAAGGATGGTGGGGGGTGAGTATCAGCAGTTGTTTCACCAGCTTTGGCCTTGACGTCCTTCTAGCCTGCCAGCCTTAATACTCATTCCCTGGCATTTTCTCATTCCATCTTCCTGAGTCTCTTCTGCTCCCCTGCACTAGTCCATCTTCTAAACATGGCATACACTGTGTTCCATCAAGAATCTGTTATATTTGAGGGCTACTACTTCGGTTACATACCCGTCCTTCTGACCCTGGTGAAGCCTAATGTTTTCCATGAGCAGTGCCTCCCATGAAGCCCTATGCCTGAAGATGTAGACTATCTATCTATACCCTGTATATCTGGGAAGGGGAGAATTGCCACTCTCTGCCTTTTCTTGCCAGCTAGTGCTGCCAACACTTTCATTAGAGACAAGGGCACTGTCATGTGCTGCATGATGTCCCCCCATAAAGGTATGTCTGTATCCTAATCCTTGGAACCTGTGGATATGAACTTCTTTGGGAAAAGGGTTTTTTCTCAGATGTAATGAAGTTAAGGATCTTGAGAGGAGGAGAGCATCCTGGATTATCCAGGTGGGCCTGAAATCTAATAACAAGGGTCATCATCAGAAGCACACAGAGAGATGGAAAGATGGAAGAGGAGGAGGGAATGTGACAAAGGAGGCAGAGACTAGAGAGAGGAGCCCCAAGTAAAGGAAGGAATTCTGCAGCCACCAGAGGGAGGAAGAAGCAAGGAGTGGAATCTCCCCTCAAGCATGTGGAGGAAGCACAGCCCTGACAACTTAACTGTGGACCTCCAGCCTCCAGAACTGTGAAAGAACACATTTCTGTTGTTTCAAGTCACCCAGTTTGTGCTAATTTTTTGCAACAACCACAGGAGACTAATACAGGTTACCTAACTCCCATCATCTTGCAAAATAATAAACAGCTAACATTTCCTGAGTGCCTACAAAGTGCTAGGTATTGTGCTAAAGACTTTTCATGGATTATGTGTGAAATTCATAGAATTACACTGTAGCACAGGACAGATAAGGAAAGGAAAGCCCTCAGGAGATAAGTGAATGCCTGCTGTTACACAGGTAAGTGCAAAGGGAGGGACTAGCAGATGCAGGTTGCCTGTCTGACTACAAGCCCATGTGCATCACCACTCAGTGACACTGCCGCTAATGGGTGACATAGAGTCCACTGGGACCCACAGCACCACTGGCTCCACAGCATCTCTGCACCCTACCTCCTCAGGTCATGGCCTCCGTCCTCCAGCAAGGCCATCCCCCGACTTGCTCTTCCCCTGACCTCACCAGCTGCAGAATCCCACTTGCTGACCACAACCCTCTTCCTTTTTAGCTGTCTCACACACTCTCTCACACTCCACCCAACCTTTGATCTCTGGGCCAAAGACCTCAAATTGGACAACCT